GTGAGATGGCAGTAGGGAAGGCAGAAGAATGCTTAGGATTCTCGTTGGAGCATCTTGATGAGGGTGAATTACAGAGATGAGGAAGAGCATGGTCAAGAAGCAAGCCTTTAGTTTGGTGTTGAGATATACACAGATGCCTGTGTGATGTCTGAGAGGGACTACTGAGTGGGTGGCTGGATGCACAGTCCAAAGTTCAGAGAAGGCTAGACTGGAGCCGTGAATTTTAGACTCATTATCTGACAGATACTACTTAAAGCAGAGAGAATTGGTAAGATGACCTAAGGAGACATTATAGACAGAGAGGAGAGGAAGGCCCACAGATACCACCATTAAGAAATCAGGTAGAAAAAAGATCTGAGAAGGGGATTTAGAAGGAAATACCAGCAAAGGTGAGGGAGGGAGGCTGATGAGAAGGGAGGGTCTCAAGAAGGAGGGAGGGGTCAGCTGTTGAAAATGTCCCGGAGGGTTGAGTTAGACACCGGAAGAAAAGGATTCTTCTTTCAAGCTTTTGCTGAACTTGGTCAGAAACATTTCAATAGAGTGGTGGAATGGCAATTCTTTAGTAACTAGAACATTTACCCAACTAAATATAATGTCAATTCTTCAAACGTTTTGAATAAGTGAGATTGAAATTAAGTACTATTATCCTCCAAGTGGCTCAGATATCTTGGGAAACCTCAAGATTGAACTCATATGCTTGTGCCTATATAACTCTCTGCTTCTTTGTTGCTAAAACAGGGACCAAAGCTTCAATGAACATAGATTTTCAGGATACTTTGGCACTTCTCCATTCTTCAGTTGTCGCTATCAGTCTCAGGCTGAATAGATAAACACAATAGTAAATTTTTACTAATTGTTATTTATGAATATGTGGTGTAAATAATTATAATGGCAGAAACTTTTTTGAGTGTGTTCAGTGCCCTGTGATATACTTTTTCCAGGTATTAAGTGATATAGTTGTAGAATTATTCTCAGTTTTCAGATGAATAAATGAAATCTTGATGAAATTACATAATGTTCATAAGCAGGCAGAGCCTGGGCATGAAGTTTTAAACACTGTACTACACTGCTAATTTATTAACTCATAAAAATCACTTCAGTTAAAAATGCAAACAATCAAGCATATCTCTGAAATTGAGATCAATATTTGTGAGCTCATTTATTTGAAATAGAACTGTTTTAACAGTTACCAACTGACTTGAAATAATAGCTGGGATAAGTTTGTAAAGTTATATGAGGATTATGACTGTAGATGGATGAGAGAGTTCAAAAGAAATAAGCATAAAACCAGCTGTTTGATTTTTAGAACCACACATGTGGTTTTCATATTGAAATTACTGCTTCTAGCTATTCATGCAGAAATATCTAAATCTTGAATTAATTTTAAAATGCTGATCTAGGTATTTGGCACAGGCAGAATATCAAAGATGGTAGCTTTAGTGTTTTTTTTTTTTTTTCCTAAAGAGTGTCTATTGACAACATCTAGCCTTTGGTGCCATGCATTCTTTTCTGTTTGACTTGAATAAACTTTGAATTTTGGCAAAAATGGTGTACTATGATTTGTATATTTAAAACTCTTACAATAGCTGTTCTAATAACACTGCAATTAAATATACTGAGAGGGCCATTATATTTTCACTTGCAGTCTGTTTCCATGTATTTGTTGTTGTTCAGTCACTCGGTCGTGTCTGACTCTTTGAGACCCCTTGGATTGAAGCACCCCAGGCTTCCCTTTCCTTCACTGTCTCCCAGAGTTTGCTTAAACTCATGTCCATTGAGTCGGTGATGTCATTCAATCATCTCATCCTCTGTCGTCCCCTTCTCCTCCTGCCTTCAATCTTTCCCAGCATCAGAGTCTTTTCCAATGAGTTGGCTCTTCCCATCAAATGGCCAAAGTACAGGAGCTTCAGCTTCAGCATCAGTCCTTCCAATGAATATTCAGGGTTGATTTCCTTTAGGATGGACTGGTTTGATCTTCTTGCTGTCAAGAGTCTGCAGTGCTGGGAAGCACTGCAGTTCGAAGGCATCAGTTCTTCAGTGCTCAGCCTTTTTTTTATTGTCCAGCTCTCACATCCGTGCATGACTACTAGAAAAACCATAGCTTTGCCTATATGGACCTTTGTAAGCAAAGTAAGGAGAAGGAAACAGCAACTCATTCCAGTATTCTTGCCTGGAGAATCCCATGAACAGAGGAGCCTGGTGAGCTACAATCTATGGGGTCACAGAGAGTCGGACACGATTGAAGTGACTGAGCAAACATGCATGTCTGATAAGAGATTAATTTTTTTTTTTATAAAGATGGCTCTATGTAAATACTGAAGGCATTGTTTTGAAATTTATTTCATTAAAAGTTTTTTTTCTTGTTTTTATTTATTTATTTTTTTCATTTATTTTTATTAGTTGGAGGCTAATTACTTTACATCATTGCAGTGGTTTTTGTCATACATTGAAATGAATTAGCCATGGATTTACATGTATTCCCCATCCCAGTCCCCCCTCCCACCTCCCTCTCCACCCGATCCCTCTGGGTCTTCCCAGTGCACCAGGCCCGAGCACTTGTCTCATGCACCCAACCTGGGCTGGTGATCTGTTTCACCCTAGATAATATACATGTTTCAATGCTGTTCTCTTGAAACATCCCACCCTCGCCTTCTCCCAGAGTCCACAAGTCTGTTCTATACATCTGAGTCTCTTTTTCTGTTTTGCATATAGGGTTATCGTTACCATCTTTCTAAATTCTATATATATGTATTAGTATACTGTAATGGTCTTTATCTTTCTGGCTTACTTCACTCTGTATAATGGGCTCCAGTTTCATCCATCTCATTAGAATTGATTCAAATGAATTCAAATAATTTTCAAAATATACGAAGAATTTCTACAATGCAACAAAAACAGAAAAAATTGGATTAAAAAATGGGCAAAGGATTTAGATAGACGTTTATCCAAAGAAGATATACAAATAGCAGATAGAAAGAAAAGTAAAGAAAGTGAAAAACGCTGTCGTGTCCAACTCTTTGTGACCCCGTGGGCTGTAGCCCACCAGACTCCTCCATTTATGGGATTCTCCAGGCAAAAGAGTTGGAGTGGTTTGCCATTTCCTTCTCCAGGGGATCTTCCCAACCCAGGGATCGAACCAAGGTCTCCTGCCTTGCAGGCAGACGCTTTACCCTCTGAGCCACCAGGGAAGCCAATAGCAGGTAAAAGATGTTCAAATCACTAATCCTCAGGAAAATGAAAACCATAGTGAGATACCATCTTCCACCCATTAGGATGATTGCTATTTTTTTTTTAAAGGCAAAAAAATGAAACAAAGCAAAAAACCATAAGCTAATAATGTTGACAAGGATTGGAGAAATTAGAACCATGGTTCACTTTTGGTGGAAATGTAAAACGTTGCAGCTGCTAAGGGAAACAGTATGACAGTTCCTCAGAAAATTAGAAGTCGAATTATCATATGACCTTTTCTGAGTATGTACCCAAAAGAATTGAAAGCAGGGACTTGAACAGATTTTTGCACATTCATGTTCATAGCAGCATTATTAACAATAACTAAAAGATGGGAGCACCCAGAGTCTCTCAGTGGAGGAATGAATAAACAAAATGAGATATGTACATAGAGTGGAATGTTATTCAGCATTAAAAAGGAAGAAAATACTGACACATGCCACAACATAATTGAAATTTGAGGGCATTATACCAAGTGAAATAAAGTCACAAAAAGATAAATACAGCATGAGTCTCCATATATGTGACTTAGGGCAGTCAAATTCGTAGAACCAGAAAACAGAATGGTGGTTGCCAGGGGCTGGGGATGGGAGAAATGATGAGTTTAATGATGATGTTTAATAGATACAGAGTTTCAGTTGCAAGATGAAAAGTTATGGGTGGTGGTGGTAAGTATTAAGTGGGAAGTACTTAAAACCATTGAACTATACTCTTAAAAATGGTTATGATGGTAAATTTCAATATGTGCATTTACCAGGTTCCTCTGTCCATGGAATTCTCCAGGCAAGAATATTGGCGTGGGTAGCCATTTCCTTCTCCAGGGGATCTTTCTGACTGAGGGATCAAACCCAGGTCTCCTGCACTGCAGTCAGATTCTTTACCATCTGAGCTGCTAGGGAAGCCCCCTTGCCACCACCACCACCCCCCCATAAAAATATATATGCAAATCACTGTATGTGGAGTGGTTTTAAAAAGATTTCAAAGAAGAGAAATAGGAGGCTCTATGGACATTAATAAATAGGAACTAATCTGAAAATATTTTCAGAGCTTTTTCATGCATAATAAAGTCTACATTAATATATAGTGTCTAATTATAATAAAAGCTATGACAAATGTGGACAGCATATCAAAAAACAGAGACATTACTTTGCCAACAAAGGTCTATGTAGTCAAAGCTCTGGCTTTTTCAGTATCATGTATGGATGTGAGAGCTGGACCTTAAAGAAGGCTGAGCACCGAAGAATTGATACTTCTGAACTGTGGTGTTGGAGAAGACTCTTGAGAGTCCCTTGGACTGCAGGGATATCAAACCAGTCAATCTTAAAGGAAATCAACCCTGAATATTCATTGGAAGGACTGGACTGATGCTGAAGCTGAAGCTCCAGTCCTTTGGCCACTTGATGTGAAGAGCTGACTCATTAGAAAAGACCCTGATGCTGGGGAAAGATTGAAGGTGGGAAGAGAAGGGGACGACAGAGGATGAGATGGTTGGATGGCATCAACAACTCAATGGACATGAGTTTGAACAAGTTTCAGGAGATGGTGATGGACGGGGAAGCCTGGCATGCTGCAGTCCATGGGGTCTCAAAGATTTGTACATGACAGAGCAACTGAACAGCAACAGCAAATTATATATAATCAGATATCCAATTACATAATTATATATAATGTAAAAATATATTGTGTTCTCCTTGGTGCTGAGGATTTTCTGGGGACAATAATGGAAGGAACTGCATACACTAGCTCAATTCAGACATTTTGTTCTGTTGCAGATCTGTGGCTACTGGCCCCCATGGTTCAGAGGCGCCATGAGGCTCGCTGACTCTTGGAAGCTTTGGCTCTGGGCAGCAACGTTCCTGCTTCCTGTTTCCGCTTCCGTGATGAGCAGGGACAAGCCAGGTATCCAGGTTGCCTTTGTGTCCAGTCTCCAAACGTTCCTTATAGTCTTTATTTTAAAAAATTATTGAAGTAAATCTTACTATGGTTGAGGAGGACATAGATTAAATCTACAAGTAAAAAATAGATAAGAATTTATTGTTTTCCCCATTGACCTTCAAGTCACACATTGAGAATGCCTAAATTTACATTTTTCAATATATGTATTAGTCTAAATAGCTATTGTTTATCTCATTGATATTTACAAATATAAGTGTGCATTGTACATCCGTGTGTCTATTTCTCCCTTTCACCTTTAAATGATGTTATTTAAATTATTCAGCTTTTAATATGGAAACTCATTCCCAGTTAGTATTAAGGGATGTTTCTAATGTTAATTAGGGAAAAGTGAAAACAGACTAAAATAGAAAAAGAAATTTAGCTTAATTATATGTCAGTTTTGTAGTGTCTCAGATGAAGTGAACAGGAAAATAACAGCCTTGAGAGTACTTTTTGACCTAAATAGATAATTGTTGTTATTTAGTGGCTGCGTTGTGTCCGATTCTTTTGCAACCACATGGACTGTAGTCTGCCAGGCTCCGCTTCCATGGGATTTCCCAGGCAAGAATACTGGAATGGGTTGCCATATCCTTCTCCAGGGTATCTTCCCAACCGAGGAATTGAACCCACGACTCCTGCATTGACAGGTTAATCTTTTTACCACTGAGCCATCAGTGAAGCCCTAATATTTGCTTACAGTTGTTAAATGATCAACCTCATAAATATCTCCAAAGGATTTGAAGGCAATTTGAAACATTTATTTCCATCTCTGATTTTTAAAAATGATCAAGTGGCTAATTTGGAAAACTTTTCTTGAACATTGAGTTTGTGTAAGTTACTGAATCAGATGCACTCTATATTATAAAGTTTGACACTCTGAAAAGCCATTTGTTAAACAAAGAGAAGCTCTGATTTGCCTTCTGTGCAAATGACTACACATAATGGATTCTGACAACAGTCACACATGATGCTATGTCCTGAGACTATGAGCTGTCTTGTGCTTATTCTTTCGAATATTTCTTTCAGAATTTTGGCTAACAAGGTATATAGAGGCTTATAATACACCCCAGTAGAGACTTTTGAGACTTTTATAACAATCTCTTATAAAGATATAACACATCTGAGTCTCTTGAATATTTTGTAAGTCTTTATGATTTTTCACTAATTTGGCAGGAGGTACATTTAATAAAATAATGTACATGGGAGTTTGAATATGCTAACACCATACGAAGGACATCCTGTGGCTCTCACACTTTCTTTTATCAGAAAAATCAGGAAGACTCATGGCAAAAAGAAGTACATAGGGCAGGGAGTTTATTCTGATAATGTTTTACTCTCCTGAATTTTTTTAATGTCTCTTCATTTTAAGAGACATAGCAGGTAATGCAAGTAATTACTTAATCAGAGGCAATAGGACTTTTTTGGCTAGAAAGGAGAATGAATCAGTTTCTAGGCACATGCTAGTGTGTAATAAGTATTCCTGATGATGATCTGAAGGATCTACACAAATGGTTTTCCAGTTTTAGTGTGAATAAGGATCATCTTATTCTAGGAGTATTGATTCCCTAGTCCCACTCCAGAGACACCTATGATGCAGGGCAGCCTGGGGCGGAATTCAGTAACTGACATTTTTAACCAGCTTCCCAGGTGAATCTAATGCCATATGTTTTAGGAAAATAAAGAAACACTCACCTTTTTGATAATTGTCTCTTCTTTCCTCAGCTTATGCTGCCAGGTTCCTTTTATTTTTATTTGTTTACTTATTAATTTGCACTTTAATAAGTTTTTGGAGGAGTAAGAATATTTAACATGAGCTCCACTCTGGTAACACATTTCTTTATAGCTGATGTGACCTTCCGTTGATTTATATTTAAAATGTATTATCACTTATTGATTTTTGACTCTGCTGGGCTTTCGTTGCTGCAAAGGGTTTTCCCTAGTCGTGGCTGGGGTGCCGCTCCGCAGTTGCGGTGCACGAGCCGCTCGTTGCAGAGGCTTCTCCTGCTGCGGAGCTCAGGCTCCAGGGCACGTGGGCGTCGGTGCTTGTGGCGCGTGCGCTCAGTAGCTGCAGCTCATGACCCCAGAGCACAAACTCGGTAGTTGCAGCGCACAGAGCTGTTGCTCCGCGGCGTGCGGGATCTTCCTGGATCAGGGATCGAACCCGTGTCTCCTGCACTGGCAGGCAGATTCTTCACCACTGAACCACCAGGGAGCCCCACACTTGTACGTGTATAGTACAGCGTTGTTGGCTACGGATCTCTAGAACGTCATCATCTTGCAGAACGGAAGCTCCCCCAGCTTGGGATTTGCCTGACTGTGATGCTTCTGTACTTTGCTAGCCCAGTTCTTTAATCAGGGTTACCTTAACAAAGGTCCGTCTGGTCAAGGCCGCGGTTTTTCCAGTGGTCATGTATGAATGTGAGAGTTGGACTGTGAAGAAAGCTGAGCACCGAAGAATTGATGTTTTTGAACTGTGCTGTTGGAGAAGACTCTTGAGAGTCCCTTGGACTGCAAGGAGATCCAACCAGTCCATCCTAAAGGGGATCAGTCCTGGGTGTTCATTGGAAGGACTGATGCTGAGGCTGAAACTCCAGTACTTTGGCCACCTCATGAGAAGGGTTGAATCATTGGAAAAGACCCTGATGCTGAGAGGGACTGGGAGCAGGAGGAGAAGGGGATGACAGAGGATGAGATGGCTGAATGGCATCACCGACTCAATGGGCATGGGGTTGGGTGGACTCCGGGAGTTTGTGATGGACAGGGAGGCCTGGCGTGCTGCGATTCATGGGATCGCAAAGAGTCGGACATGACTGAGCGACTGAACTGACTGACTGACTGTATATGGGGCAATTGGAATGCATATGTTCTGGCTCAATTTACTCTACCAAATTAATCTTTCTGAAAGATTTTCCTGGGTGTGAATTCCAAGTTGATCGTAAGTCTAGTAAGCTTTATGTAACTCGAAGCATGGAGGGAAATGACTAAAGATGAAGAGCTGATTTTATCAGACTGTCTGGTAGGAGGTTCTCTGAAACAACTCACCCTAAACGTGCCGTGGAAGTTACTTGATTGGAAGTATCATTTGCATTATTTGAAAGCGTCAGCACAGCCTGCGGGGAGGATTGCTGGTGAGGATGGCATCCCGAGCCTGGCCTGCCAGGGGCTCCTCTCCTGCCTTGTGTGTCTGATTCACGCGCAAGCTTCCCTTTTTAGTTTCCTCATGTGCAGACCTGTGCGTGTGGTCACTAGCCATTTACCGGAGGGAAGTGATTACAGCTAAAAATAAAATATAACAAATCTGAGGGAGAGGCTAGGATGTCAGCTCTGGAGCCTGTGAAGTTGTCAACAGTCTGCTGTTAAACTTAAATATACGAAGGATCATTTGAGTCTTTTAATTGCTTTACTGAACTCAATGGAGTACTTCAAGGTGACTTGCAATATTGGCTCAGCTGGGGTGGAATCAAGAATAATACAGAGAGATTCAATAACACCTTGAAAATTAAAATCCTGACACTATTCAGAATTAGTGGTTTCATATTCTTTGGTCAGTATTACCATTATGTTGAGATTATAAGGCATACTTGACTCTTTTCACACAGCAGGTAAACAATTTGAATGTGGCTGTTTCAGCTCAGTTGTCAAAAAACGGTGGGGAAGAGACTTGTATTAACAAATATATATCGCATGCATTAGCTCCAGACTGGCTTTAATCACTTTCTTAAAACATTCCTCTATGATAGAAGCTTATGTATCATATGTATCCTATGGCTTCTCTTTCTGCCCCACTCTCCTTAATCTAGGAGCTTCCCAGTTGGTTCTGCGATGTGCTGTGCTAAGTGGCTTCAGCCGTGTCCAACTCCTTGCAACCTTATGGACTGTAGCCTGCCAGGTGCCTCTGCGCATGGGATTCTCCAGGCAAGAATACTGGAGTGGGTAGCCTTTCCCTTCTCAGGGGGTCTTCCCAACCCCGGGATCAAAGCCAGGTCTTCCGTATTGCAGGTGGATTCTTTACCAGCTGAGCCACCAGACGCTTGTAGTAAAGAACCCACCTGCCAATGCAGGAGAAGTAACAGACGCTGGTTCTGTCCCTGAGTCAGGAAGATCCCCTGCAGGAGGAAATAGCAACCCGCTCCAATATTCTTGCCTGGAGAATCCCATGGGCAGAAGAGTTTGGTGGACTACAGTCCATGGGGTCGCAAAGAGTCGGACATGACTGAAGGGACTTCACGCACACACGCTCCTTAATCTCAGGGAAGTGTGCTAAATTATCATCAAAAGTAATAAAGACAGAAAACAAGGTGAGGAGGCCTGCTATTATATAGAGAATTTTATTCTATGTTTTGAAGAATTTCTCATGTTCAATATGGTATGAGGTTAAGAGTCTTTCCCTGGTGGTTCAGACGGGGTAAAGAATCTGCTTGCAGTGCAGGAGACTTGGGTTCGATCCCTGGGTCAGGAAGATCCCTTGGAGAAGGGAATGGTTACCCACTCCAGTATTCTTGTCTGGAGAATTCTGTGGACAGAGGATCCTGGCGGGCTACAGTCCGTGGGTTTGCAGAGCCAGACACAACTGAATGACTTTCACATACACACATGCACACACACAAGTCCTACTGCTGATAAATGTACTTTGTAACTCCTCAATTTTTAAAGTGCTGGAAAGCTTCACAGTTATCAAATAAAGATTATGGCTCCTAACCACAGTTATTAAATAAAGCTTCAGAATTTTTAAATAAAGATTATAGCTTCTAACCAAATATTCTCCTTTGGAGGAACAGCTCTGGACAAAAAATAAACAGTGAAGGTTCTGTGACCCCTTTGTTACCTCTTTGTTAAAATAGTTGTGTTGTGTTTTTTTCTTGTTTGGTCACTCGTCCATATTTCTTTGGTTATATTCTGGTCTGATGTTCTTTACCTCTTTTTGTTGACCATTGTTTCTCTCCCAGCCTAGGATACTCCATAAT